GAAACACGGATCTAAATGGATGAATTTCTGATAGCACAGAAAACAGATTCCAATCCTGAAGAACTGACAAGCAAGGTTCAATTCTCCAAATGCTTGATTTCATCACTAGGAACCAAAATTGAATGTATTATTGTCTTTAAAATACTGGAGGGTCACATATGAGGGTCATTGTAATCATACACATCTTAGAATGAGCATAGAAACGGGCATTAGGAAAGCATAGTTCAGTATAATGATCAAACGTGAAAAATATGTGAAAGTATAATGTGCAAAATAATTGTTAAAACAACTGAACTTGCAAACAAAGAAGCATAAGGAGAGAGAAATCCGTACGTGGACCTTTCTGTCTTATGTTGACTTACAAGAGACAGGGACACGGGAGAGAATGACACGGATTTCTATTGAACATTTCAGTTGTAAACATCTGATGATCTTTCTAAATAGACTGCAGCCTAACATACAACTGTCTCACCAGATGTGCTCTGCAACAGATCTTTCTCCCGTAAGTCATCCAGACACAAATAAACACACACAAACCAAAAGGGCAAAGCAAGAAACTCCCATTTTCTTAACTTGCATTCTCTCCATACAATTCTCAGAAATTTGTAATGGATCAATCTGACTAAGGGGAAATGCTTTCCACTGCACCAGTACAGCAGAAAGAGTTTTCATTAACTGAATTGAATACTTTATGTGGCCAAGTGTGATTAGACACACAGGGAATTCATCTCTGGAGCAGAAGCTCTCAGTGTACATGCAAAGCAACAGAACAATGATAACCAACATCATCATCTTATCAATAAAGAGGGGGAATAAAGAAGATAATTTGTATCGTCTTTAATCTGTATCACTGGGAATTTTGGGAGTTGTAACTGTAATCCCAGAAAGTCTGAGGAAAACCAAGGACAATATAATCATCATAGACCGCTTGGCATCTGCTGAGCTAGGAAATAAACAAAAATCCATTTATACCTCACAATAGTTAATATAGAAATGGTATTTTTAGGGCTTCCAGGCTCAATAAGGAGCCGATCCACTTCTTGCTGGAAGAGTGAAAAAGGCAACTTCATTGCAATGCAGCTTTTCCTTTACAGGTAGTCCTTGTCTTACAACCACAATACAGCCCAAAATTGCTGTTGTTAAGTGAGAGATTTGTTAAGTGACTTTTGCCCCATTTCTTGCTACATTTGTTAAGTGAATCCCTGCAGTGGTTATGTTAGTAATCCGGTTGCTAAGTGAATCTGGTTTCCCCATTGTCAGAAAGTCGTAAGAAGGGATCACATGACCCTGGGACACTCTAACCATCATAAATAGGAACCAGTTGACAAGCGTCTAGATTTTGTTCACATGCTGCGGAAGTTGTAATTGTGAAAATTGGTCATAAGTCACTTTTTTCAATGCTGTTGTAACTTTGAACGGTCACTAAATGAACTGTTGTAAGTCGAGAGATACCTGTATTAGCTGAGCCCTAAATAGCATCAGACGCAATGGGTGTTAATCCCTTTAGATCATTGGTCGCCAACCAGTGGGCCGAGGACCACTGATGGTCCATGAGAAAATTTGGGTGGTCCGCAGAGAAATGTCCCCCGCCCAAAGCAATTAATCCAGGCTGTGCAGGAACACAAGGCTGCGCCACCCACATGGACCATGGGAACACAAGGCTTGCATTGCTTGCACTGCGAACAACACGAGTTAGTGAGGTGGGAGAAGGGCGGAGGGGGGAACTTGCCCCACTCATCCCACACGCCTGGCCTGGCCACCGGGCTGCTTCTTTCCGCTTCTTTCTTCTTCTGCTTTTGGCTGCATGCAAGGAAAGCAGCAGAAGTCTTTCTTTTCCTCCCCCCAAAATGAGTCTTTGGGACCCTGCAAGGCCTCCTGCTCCAACAAGGCTGTGCTGGCAAAGACTCATTTCTGGTGGAATTTGGGGGAGGGAAAGAAAGACTTCTGCTGCTTCTGCTGCTTTCCTTGCATGAAGCCAAAGGTCTCTCTTTCTCCCCCTGAGAACGGAGCAAGAGACTGTATCATGCGATCCCAAATAAAAAAAGATTGATCAGTAGAAAACAGGGTGGGGAATTTTCCTGCAGACTTTTTTTGGGATTTTCCCAGGGTCTCTGGTCCACGGGATTTAAAATTATGAGTTTAGTGGTCCCTGAGGTCCAAAAGGTTGGCGACCCCTGCTTTAGATTATACCTTTTATTAAGAGCATAAACTGGACGTGCACAACTATTAAGCTCTGATTGATGCTGGTCCAAGGATAAATTCAGCTTTTAATCTACAAAATGCCCTCTAGGCAACATTGAAAGAAATCTTGGCTGGAACTCAGAGACATCAGGAAAAGGTATAGCATGAACCTATCCCTGATGTTGGATAACCATTTTGTCTGAAGTGGTGTAGGGCTTCCTGCCTAGGCAGGGGGTTGGACTAGAAGACCTTCAAGGTCCCTTCCAACTCTATTATTCTATACTAACATAGGCAATATGAAGCTCAGGCAAAATCCCATGAATTTGACTTTGGGAAAGGAAATAAGATTGTTGGGCTGGTCATCAGTGGAGAACAATCCTCCAAAGTCTGAAATGACTGTTCTTTCATTTTTTGTCTACTGTAGAGGTGCATGATGAAGCCCCAACTGTACTCCATCATTATTCTACTGCTTGCCAGGGTTACCTACATGAAAAACACAAACAGTTCTACCCAAGATGCTGCAACTTCTAGCACACAACTGTCTCTGATTCCTAACACCACCTCTGTTGCTAAAACCCCCGAGGAAAGTGTCGAATCTACTACCAAAGCTCCCGATGACCACAAAACCTCTGCCTCTGAGAACAACGTCGCGTCTGTTACCAAAGCCCCCAAGGGCAACACCACCTCTGTTGCCAAAACCTCTCATGAAACCACTAACAAGATCACGGTTGTTTCTGAAGCCCCCAACAGCAAGGCCAGCCTGGCCCCCAACGTGTCACCCAGCCTGGCCCCCAACGTGTCATCACTTCGCACCACCAAAGAATTTACAATGACAACCAGGAGTGACGGCATACCGAGGGCAACTGGGAGCACCAGCATATCGATAGGAAAGGAGACATCGAATCCTACACCTGCTCCCAGCCGGGCCCCCAACGTGTCATCAGTTCACACCACCAAAGAATTTACAATGACAACCGGGAGTGGCGGCATATCGATAGGAAAGCAGACATCGAATCCTACACCGGCTCGAAATGCAACCACACAACGGATCAACAAAGTCACTAACACAGTCCATAAGACAACAAGGCCCACTTCAACCAAATCAACTACTGCTAAAGCCACTGGGAACAGAATCAGCACCTTCCCAGTGCCTTTGTTGTTTGCAATCGTGTTGCTTGTCGTTTCTGTACTCTGTTTTTAAGAAAGATTGTTCTGCTGCACGCTGCCATTCTGGGTGAAAGGGGAGGGATATTTTTTCTTTTTTGCTGTTAATAAATTTTCCATAGTCAGTTCTCTTATAAGTCCTCCAGTGCATTTGCCAATATCTTCTCTCTCACCAGCCTTCAATGGAAAAACTGCCAATTTTCTAACCCAAGGAGTATGCCGTTTTGCTTCAGTTAGGTCAGACTGAGCTATGGCTATGACTCTTTAATCAAAATCACAGCTAATATTATAAACAAGGCAAACACTGACAGCTTAACTGTGCTGCTGGGTATGTAAATGGCTAATCTTTAGGCATTGCTTTTTAGCATATCCACTAGTCTTCCTGTATGTACATAGTCTTCTGTTTCTAAAAGCAAGAGCCAACATCTCCCCACCATTCCCTCCAGTTTTCTTTATTTATATTTGCACTGCAGTAAGTGGAGGAAATGTCTGAATTGGGAAGACTTCCTGCTGTCTCTGAAATCCGTGATTTCTACCATTGCTTGAGAAGCAGCAAAAAAAGTCCTGAAATCAGTTGGGAATATCTCCCTCAAAAGCTTTCAACCAACCCAGATTTTATTTGTCAGGTCTACAACAGCAAGGATAGTACTTTGGGTTTACCATAGCTCATGACCACCCCATAATTTGCAACAAGCAACCAAGAAGCACTCTCCAAAAAGAGGCAGGTACTCACACCCTCAAGATTCAAAAAAAGGTTTGCAATCAAGTCACACCATGAGGAAAGCTGGCCTTTCTTGTTGGAGATCCCTGAAAGGACCTACAAGGACAGACAGTTGAGCAGAATGCAACTGAAAGACACTTCATGGGTCAAGACCAAATGTGTGAAAATCCCTCGAGACTCAAATTTTGCTTTGGCAATCAACAAAATTTCCTTCTGACCAAGACTTCTGACTACAGATGTTACCTGCATATATATTTATGTACGGGAGGGTATAATGTGCTTTCTACTGTTGTGTTTATTAAAAGCAAACAGAATTAAGGTACCAATAATGCAAATTAAAATGGCTTCATAAAACTCAGATATCATCATGGCAACAACCAATAGTTTTTTCCAAACGTTTGCCTTCTACCGCTCTTGAGATTCCAAAGCGCTGCCCACCCATGACTTATGGATAAATATTGCCTTTTTTTTTTTAAATGTTCATATGAGGAGAATGGGGAGGGGGGGGCTCGATGGCTTAGTGGGTAAAGACTCTGAATTTGTCAGCTGGAATGCTGACAGCCCGGTTTGAGACCTGAGCGCTGTAAGACAGGATGAGCTCCCATTCCTCACCCCAGCTCCTGCCCACCTAGTTGCTCAAAAACACACACATGTGAATAGATAAATAGGTACCACTTTAGTGGGAGAATAACAGCATTCCATGCGCCTCGGCGTAAATGCCGGTCACATGACCATGGAAACATTTTTGGATAAAGCTGGCTCCCCCGGTAAAGAAACGGAGATGAGCAGTACCCTCTAGAGTTGGACATGACTGGACAGGTGAAACCTTTACCTTTTGGTAGAGAATATTTAATCACTCAGGGACACTGTAGCTGTATTGGACCATTCCTTTCTCCAAGCAGCCTTACACCTTGCCCCAGGAAACACTTTGATTGCAATAACTGCTGGACAATGAATTGGTGGGGTCATTTGTAAGGCACAACCTGTTCTATATGTTTGCTTAGCTAACAAAAAAAAAAAAAACCACTTCTCCATTCAGAGGAAACTAATACATCAGCCCTTCATTTGCTGATACCTGATCTGTGCAACATTTAATACTGCATTTTTTTTTTCTATGTTGATTGACTATACTTATTTCCATGTACTCTCAGGCTTTTTAATTTTTTGGACACATTGCTTTTTGTGCGTGTGTGTTTTTTTTTCTTTTGTCCTCCTTTCACAAACATTCTCTGTAGGAAAACCTATAATATCCAAGGTGGCATTAACCATAAACAAACCACAGCTCAAAATCAGAGACAAACTTTTCCCTACCCACCCTTTCATTTTTCTGCTAAATAGAGCAATTTACTTGCATGGTTTAGAACATGATTAAATCAGGCTGGAGAAAACACCTAAAACTGGACCTCCCTTCAGCTTCTCCCTAAAGAAGTAAGCCTCTACTTTTACATACCGTTCAACTTTACTAAGAGGACAGCCACTGTTTGAAGTTTATAGAGAATAGAAAACAAACTGTCCTTCCCTAACATAAAATATTCTTCACATTTAGTGAGATTATTCCCTGGGTAATCGTTTAACTGCCGTGGTCTTCAAGGAGTGTCCCACACATTTTTCGCCACAAAAAAAGATGTACATTAATAAATAAGGGCAATAGGAGTTGAAAACAGAGCAAAGGAACCTGTTTGGTCTGGGTGGGGAAGGAGATACCATGCTAGAAACCAGGAGACGGAGAGTTCTAGTCCCACCTTAAGGATGACAGTCTGTTTGGTGACTTTGGGCCAATCACTCAGCTCAGCTCGAAGGGTTTGCTGCCTTGAGTTGCTTATTAAAAAGTAATAAAGTTGGGATTTAAAAAGATATTTAAAAAGGAAGAGAAATACAACCAAAGCAAAATCAAAAACCCATTTTATATCCCTAAAGAGCCAGGTGACAAGAACTCAGTATCTTTTCCTTCATAGATGATTGTGAAGGATAATGAAGAGGCGATGGGGCATGTCTTCAGCCTGGAACTGGCAAGGCAAACAGAAGCTTAATACAGACGGTCCTCAACTTACAGCAATTCATTCAGTGACCGTTCAAAGTAACAACCGCACTTTAAAAAGGGACTTATGACCTGTTTTCATACTTCCAACCACTGCGGCATCCCTGTGGTCATGTGATCAAAATTCAGGCGTTTGACAAATGACTCATATTGATGACGGTTGAAGTATCCCGGGGTCATGTGATCACATTTTGTGATCTTCAGTCAGGCAAAATCAACTGGGAAGCCAGATTCACTTAACAACCATGTTACTAGCTTACTGACTGCAGTGAGTCACCATACAACTGTGAACAAGAGAGATGGGAAATTGGGGCAAAATTCACTTAACGAATGTCTCACTTAACAACAGACATTTGGGGCTCAACCGTGGTCATAAATCAAGGACTAACTGCACCAGAGAAATGGGATGGTTCTATTAGTTGTTTCTTTTGCAACTGTTTGAAATCTTAGCGCTGGGAAAGTCTGGCTCAACACAGATGGAACAATATCAGGGAGGAAATGGCTGTCTGTTAGTCTTGTTTTCTAACACGAGGGACTTCAAAAAATGTGATGGCTTGCTTGCCAGTTCTAAACCATGCCAACAACAAAACTTTTCAAATTCTTTTGACTTCCTTGGTGATTTAGTGCAAATGTATCTTTAAATAGCTTTCTCCTCCTCAGAGGGTTAACGGAACATACTTTTAACAGTCGCCAAGATAATCCAAGCTCATTGTTCTGTTAAACCATAGGTGTCCAATCTTTTGGCTTGCCTGGGCCACACTCAGTGAAGAGAAACTCTCCTGGGCTGTATATAAAATACAGCTAGTCCTCGACTTAAGACCACAATTGAGCCCAACATTTCTGTTGCTAAGTGAGCAATTCGTTAAGTGAATTTTGCCCTATTTACGACCTTTCTTGCCACAATTGTTAAGTAAATCACTGAAGTTGTCAAGTCGGTGACATAGTTCAGTGAATCTGGCTTCCCTGTTTGATTTTGCTTGTTGGAAGATCTCAAAAGGGGATCATGTGACCCCGGGACACTGCAACCGTTATAAATATGAGTCAGTTGACAAGTGTCTAAACTTTGATCGCTTGACTATAGGGATGCTGCAACGGTCGTAAGTGTAAAAACAGTCATAACTCACTTTTTTCAGTGCCGTTGTAACTGAACAGTCACTAAATGAACTGTTGTAAGTCGTGGACTATCTGTATTACCATATAGCTAATGTACGTAAATAACAAACATCCTCTATTTATCTTGTGGGGCTGCATTACTAGCCGTCCAGGGCTGCATGCAGCCCGCACACAACAGGTTGGACATGCCTGTGATAAACAAATAATAATAAAATGTGTTTTCCCTCACTCTCCTAGGGAACCAAAACATCTGACTTACAGGCTTCAAACAGAAAGTGGTGCTTAACAGATTGTCCTGGAAAGCCGCCACCAGAGGCTCCATTTTATCAGAACTCAGTCCAACTCAGGAGACCAAAGCCCGATAACATTTAGGTGACCTGCAGTTGGAAGGATGATGACCAGGGAACGGGGAACGCAAGTGCCAGTTTCTGAACAATAGCAGGAAACCTTCAAAACTCAGAGACTGTAACCCTGATAACATTAAACTAAACAATGCTTCCGCCTACGGCGATGGAAAAAGTAGCACGTAGCCCTTAAGACGGCAAGTGAACCTCCTGACTGCTGAAATCATGCCCTCCAAAGGATAAGTGCACAACAAAAACAGAACTTAATTGTTACATGCAAGGGACATGTACAATACAGTACATGTACATGTCAATAATGTAAATGTACTGGACTTTTACTGTACAGGACTTTTACCAGCTTCAGCAAGAGAGACACACTTTGGGAAGCTTACTAACACAACTATGGCTAAATCAACTCCCCCGCCCCCCCCACCCAAATTCAGCTGGAGCAGAAAAGTATATGCTATGACAACAAAGGTTCAGCCTTCATATTACTTTTCATGCTTAGGTTTCAGGTGCATCCTTGAATGATAGGGAAATACATGTTCACTGTCCATAAGGACAACTGTTGTAAAAGAAAGTGAGGCCAGGGTCATTGTTTTTTTTACAAAGCCGCAGTTCTTAATTACTGAACAACAGCAAAAGGACAGAGGCTAACTTTCTGCTGATGCCCAGATTACAACTCTTGGGAGTTCCAAGTGAGCAAAACCAATGGAGCTAGAATTCACTGATTTGGGTAGTACTACTTTTTTTGTCAATCTGTCTATGCTTCTAGACTCTCTTATCTAACTTTTTTTTTCCTCTCTCTTTCTCTCTCTCCCTCCCTCCTTCCTTCCTTCCTTCCTTCCTTCCTTCCTTCCTTCCTCCTTCCCTTCTTTTCTTTTTTGGTTGCCCTATCTATCTATCTATCTATCTATCCATCCATCCATCCATCCATCCATCCATCCCCATCCCTCCATCTCCATCCATCCATCCATCTACATTTCCTGACTGCTCAATTCCAGGGACAGATTTAACCCAAAAGATGGATTTGAGTAACATTGCTCACTTACAAATCCTAAAAAACAGAAGCCCCCTTTAAACTAAATGCAATCCAATAAACAGGTAGCTACAAAAGTGCTATAGGAACTAGCAAAAGCAATTCTTTAAAGGAAACACTGAAGGAAGAAATATGAAGAAGTTCTAAACATTAAATCACAAGTTACATGTCATCCTAAATGGAGGGAGGAGCAGGAGCCAACACTAACGAAGGAGCCCACGGTGCTCATGCCCCCTCTGGTGGCCACATTGGGAAAGCATCTGTGCTTCTTTGTTGAGAAGGACTAACCCTGATTGTGCATTGCATCATTGTAGGCAGTGTAGAAGTAACTTCATTTTCAGCATTTCTGAAAAGTGATTTTGGTAAAGGCTGGAGTCAGATGTTTTGCTCTAGGGCTAGACCATGATTTGCTCTATTCGTGGCTTACTGAATAAGCTATAAACCATAATTTGTTATCTACTATGGCGTATAATGGTTTCTATTAGACAGTTTGATGTAGCGGTTAAGGTGCTAGTCTAGAAATCAAGAGATTGGGAATTCTAGTCCTACCTTAGGCATAAAAGCCAGAAGAGGAGAAACAATTAAATAAGTAAATAAATATACAATGGCATATACATTAGTGCAGTCAAAAACCAACCAACTATCAAATGGCTTATTCATTAAATTTATTCCTCACCCTTATTATTTTTACAAATAATTCAAGATAATGAACATACTCCTCCCGCCACCTATTTTCTCCACAACAACCACCCTGTGAGGTGGATCTGGCCGAGAAAGAATAACTGGCCTAAAGTCACCGAGCTAGTTTTCATGTTTAAGGCAG